CCTGGAACACTCCCAGGGATGGAGCAGCCACAGCTGCTCTGGGCAACCTGTGCCAGTGTCTCACCACCTTCATGATCCCTTCATCCCCAGCCTGGATTGATCCCAGGGGCTGCCATGTAGGGTGATAGATTTACAGCTTTAAGTAATGTTCAGTCCTCGTTTGGGCAGTTAAACACCAGAGCCAACCCAACCCCACAACACCAACACTGCTGGAGACACAGGAGGTGCTCAGGTAGAAGTATTCTGTATACAGTATTCCTAGTTCAACTAAGGCACCCAAGAGGAGTGAGTACTAACAGGAGCTTTTTATCACCCTTCTAAGCTTCACCCTGGCTGAGTTGTCTCTTAGATGACTCTCAGCCATGAGGATTAATGAGATGAACATTGGGCCATCAGGGTTAGGCCACCAAAACTTCTCCCAACCAGATCCTTCACCCCAGCATCAGCAGAGGCTCAGCCAGGCAATATTCCCAGTGGACACTTTCCTTCAAGTCTGAAAGTAGCCATAAAATCCCTTATCAAACACTATCTACCCCTGGCAACTGTTTCTGCAGGGAGTACATGGCTCAAGCTTTCCAAACATCCTCTTTGGACACCAGAATGAGAACAGCTCAGTGCTGCAAAGAGCTCTGCACCTTTCCTGCCCTTTGCAAGTCAGGGCTGAGCTCCAGGCCCACATTTCAGAGTCCTGCTTGGCTTGGCAGAGGCCACAGAGAGTGGCAGTGCCACTGGGAGCTCCTCCCATCCACGAACAAGGCACTACTCATGCTGAGGGGAACTGCTCAGGTCTCCATTCACATTGCAGCTGCAGCCTATTAAAGGGCCTTCAATTCCCAGGCTTCATGTGGGAGTGTTCCTGCTGCAGCCCAGGGATGCAGCGGGATGCAGAGCCTGGCTGGGAAGCCAGCAGTGCATGTGCCAAAGTGCTGTTGGAATTACTCTGGGTCACAACGCACTGCCCTGCTAGACAAGTCACTCCAGGGGAGTTCAATCAGAGCAGCAGCCACTTTGGAATCTCCTATTAGCATGTGCACACAAGGCAAGTTAGGCAGTGACAGTGCAGGGATGGAGATTGATTGGGAAATTGGGAAATGAATGGCTCCAGCGTAACCAACCCTCACACAGCAATGAACCAGCAGGAAACACACACTAATCTGGATTAATGACTGGGGCAAGAGTCACTAATGACTGGGGCAAAAGGCATTAAGTCATTGCTAACACCAAGATACACTCGGAAGCTTAATGATGCCACATTCTCCCAACACCTTCTACACCTTCTTGCCCAAAGAACAGATCTGAGGCTGCTGAGCAGTGTTGGGCT